TTTTTTTGAAATGTATATGAGGCAACTTTTAACTTTTAGTCCCCTATTCAAACTACAATAAGTATTGAAAAGTTTTTTTTTACTTTGTGTCCACGTGGCGACCCGTGATTCAGTATTTTCGAAGATCGGTCGTTACATAATCATGCATAAAATTGAACTTGTCATCTACTAAAACGGTAAATAATAAAGAGTTGTTTGATTTGAGGTTTTGTTTATGATGTCTATGAATATGATGTCTCAAAATAGGATGATTGCAAAATACGATAAATGTGATCGGTGTTACATGAGAATGACATTATAATTTCATAATAATAAATAATATTTTTGTTCGGTTCCACCATGTCAATGTTGCATGTGTTTGTCTTTTCAACCCCAATAGTGGAGTTACTGAGTAATACTCAAGTTATGTGTCATTCTTACATTTTAGGTAAAGGTAAGACACCCATGTACAGATGACGGTGGCGTCGTAACAAATGCCATAAAATCAATGTTAGGGTAACTGCATTTATGTTTATTTTGTAGCCCTTACGTTCAAGACTTTGTTTTATTTTCTCTTTATGTTATTTAAATCACAGTTGTTTTGTTTTAAGGATTTTATTTTCGAAGACTTAAGTCCATGATATCAATTATGAACTATTTTAAATGAACTATTCTCGGCTGATATGAACCAAGAGACATCAATCATACAATATGCTTCAATGAAGATATGAAAAAAAAATATTGTTGAAATTATCAAAAGATATTTCAATTCATGGCACATTGAAGAAGAATGAAGTTTTATGTTATAAATTTTGGGTGATTACATTTTAGAGTAATTTAGAGTTATTGTATTTCATTAATGTATTTTAAGACTTTTTATTTACTCTAGGTTATAATTACATGATGGTTAATTATGGCGTAAGTATGAATGTTACAACTCTTGGAAAGCATTTAATAGTTTCATTTTGACACTATATAAAGCCATTTATGTTGTATTTGTAACTAGACTTGAAAATATAATAAAAGGAGCATTTGTGCTTTCTTTAGCCAATGGCTAAGTTTCTTTGCAATTCTATGTAGTTTAGGTTGCATGTAGAATCATTCAAGCTCGACATGATCAATCTTTCTTGTGGAGTGATTCGAATCTCAAACAAATGTTATTGGGTTGAAATATTTGATCAACAAGAATCATTCAAGCTAGACATGATCGATTTTTCTTGTGGAGTGATTCAAATCTCAAACAATGTTCTTGCCTTGAGATATTTGATCAACAAGGTAATCCGAATCTTACTCCCCTTGTAGTTATTTTTCCATATCATTTGGTATCAGAGCCTTAGGCTCAAGATCGGATATATGTTTCCTTTGTGTTTCTTCTTAATTTGATTTTTATTTATTTTTATCTTTTTAGTTTTTAATTGACCCAGAGTTCAAAATTCAATCTATGCTTTATTTAAAATTTTGAGAGGTGAGAATGAGAGCTTCATTTGTGTAAATGAGTGGCCAAAATATTCCTTGAGTATATACTCGTGAGAGAGTGTTGTGAGGTCCTTTCTATTTCCATAACTTATTTTTTGCAGCAAAGTTTCACAACTAGATTCGAGGACGAATCCTCTTGAAGAAGTGGAGAATGATATGAACCAAGAGACATCAATCATACAATATACTTCAATGGCTAAGTTTCTTTGTAATTCTATGTAGTTTAGGTTGCATTCAAGCTCGACAGGATCAATCTTGATCGTGGTTGAGATATTTGATCAACAAGGTAATCCGAATCTTACTCCCCTTGTAGTGATTTTTTTCATATCAACAGAATTCTAACCTACGCGCAGAGACCTCAAGGTAATCCCTTGTAGTGATTACGCGCAGAGACCTCGAGGTAATCTTACTCCCCTTGTAGTGATTTTTTCATATCAACAAAATTCGAAGATTTCAAACCTGTTACATTAGTCACTCAAGCATATCAACATTTGTTAGAAATAACTATTTTTAATTTCATAAATTATGTAAAAGTCAAGTGATCAATTTGACTTAATCTTTTGTGGAGATTAGGATCCGGAATAAATCCCGTCCACAAACGTCTTTTGTCGGAAGACTATAAATACCACAATATGTTATGTAAAAATTCAGATTGGTGGATGAATGTAATTCAGATCTCAAATTGAGACGTTTCCCTTAAAAATCCAAGCATCATATTTGTCATTCCTAAGTTTCAAGCAATTCTTGTAGTAGAATTGCACCCGAGCCATTCAATCAAGCCTTGATCAAGTTAGATTGTGGAGTGACTCAATTTAGAACAAGGTTCCAAATTATGCTTCTAGATCTTCGATCATAAGAGGTAATCTAATTCTAGCTTTATCTCTTGGTTGATCCAAATTTCGTATAAGGAGGTGTTAATTACTCTGATTCAAGGGTTCTTGCTAAAAAACAAAAGCTTGGATCGTTAGACTGAGAATTAGGGTTGCCTTATCAATTTGGTATCAGAGCGTAGGTTGCATCTTTGTGACCGACTCTAGAATTGATTTTATCTTTAATTTCTGCTATTGTTTATCATTTCTTTAAAGCTGTCATTTATTTCTTACTGTCATTTCCACCGTTCTTCATTATCTTTCTATTTTGTTCTTAGCATCCTCTTAAAGATCATATTTAGATCTTGAAAAAAAAATCCTTATCATATTGTTCTTAATAAATTCTTATCATTAAATCATTTGCACGTTTATTTGAAGATCAAATAAATTTCAATTCTCATTTTTTCCTAAAGCATATAAATCTAAAATTGTTGTGTTTGATCTTCACGACCATTCTCTTTGGAATTATTTTTTTCAGTGTGCAATTATATCCAAAATTATATTTGTCTCTTAGTTGTTTGTTCACTTCTTGTTTTTTTTGTTGTTACTTCATAATTAACTTATCTTGATTACCTTGAATAGCTTGCTACCGTCAGAATTGCTTTACCCATATATTAGCCTACCTTGATCATAATTTAGTTACTTTCCCAAACAACCTACCTTTGTGTGTATAAACACGAATGTCTCTGAGTGTAAAATTAGTGAGTTGAGTGTCTGAGGTTCTAAACATATTTCACTACTGTTTGTACAATCATGAACCAAGACGAGGAAAATGGAGGGGAGATCAATGATTTAGTTGAAGAAGTCTAGAAGAATGAGGAGGAACTAGAAGATGGGATTCATTTGGCACTTATAACAGTTAAAACTCAAGCTAGAGAGAATGATGTTGATGATTAAAGAGACAACCTGTTCCACACGGTGTTTCGTTAAGGGGACTGCTTGTAGTCTTGTCATTGATAGTGGAAGTTGCACCAATGTTGTAAGTACCATGTTGATCAAAAGGTTACAAATTCCAACCCAAGATCATCCTAAACCTTACAAGCTCCAATGGTTCAATGATAATGGAACAATGAAGGTAGTTTCCCAAGCTTTAATATTTTTTACTTTGGGAAAATATAAAGATGAAGTTTTTTGTGATGTGTTACCAATGCAAGCTGGAGATATATTGCTTGGCCGACCATGGCAATTTGACAGGAGGGTTATGTATGATGGCTATTTGAATATGTATTCTTTTGTAAAAAATGTAGAAAAACTACTCTTGTACCTTTGAGTTTTTCAAATGTATTTGCTGATCAATTAAAGTTAAAGGAAAGAAAGAAAGAGTTTGAGGAAAAAGATTTAAAAGAAAAACCAGAGTTGAGTGAAAAAAAATAGAAAAAAATCAAAGAGAAAAAAAGAAGAATGAAGAAAGAGATGAAATTGAAGAAAAAATGAAGAGAGAGAGTTATTTGGCTACAGTGGAGAAGTGAGAAGGTTTTCACAAAAATTAATTTTTGTACTT